CTGCCTCAGCAAAATAGAAATAGTCTGCATATTTCTGGAAACAAAAGGTTAGATGGTTTATATCCCAACAATCAGTATACAGATATAGTATACAGAACAAAGAGGATGTTGACAGATGCTGCCAAGACAATCCCTGATCTCTATGTCAGTTCAAAAGATTTCATAGTAAATATTAAGAGGAAAGTTTACTGTTGTTCAGGGTGAGTTCTGTTAAATAATAGTGAACTTTTGCAAAAGCAAAACTAACTTTTCAATGCACTTGGATTTTTTAGGTTTTGTCAGAGAAACCTAGAAAATAAAAATATTCGAGGGAAGATGTAAGGCAGAACTTAAAAGAAGTAAAAATAGAGTTACTCCATGTTCTGAAAGGATCATTGCAGGGCTTCTTTGTGGGGAAAAGTAAGGAGAGAACTGAAGATTAATTCAGGGCAATGAATATTGTCTGAACAAATGTTTTATTAAAGTAAAAAACAAAAACCAAACCAACCAACCAAACAGAAAAACCTTTAAGTGTGCAAATGCCAGTTCAGCTACAGAGGTTTCTTCTTTTCAGCTTAGTTTTATAAATTTTTTTTTTAATTTTTATTTTTTTTTTTAGTTTGGGTTCCAACCAAAATAGAAGGATTTTTTTCAGAGCAGTTATTTCAATTCTACCTACAGATAAGGGAAAAAAATATGGAAAATACAGAGCACCCTACAAAAATGTTAAATTAAAAGCTTGGAAATGCATAATTCTCTTCTAGAAGGGATGGGTTTGAGCTAATGAGTTGGTGAGAGAATTGAGGTATTTTTATACAGTCATCTGCCCTAAAAAAAAAATGTAGCAGCAGTTCAGGAAGACTATATCTGCAGTTCTTCATTTGTTAGGTTTAAGACAGATACCTGCACCTACATTAGAAAGAGGGGCTAAGAATTTAGTTTTAAAAGTAGTGGTGTTTTTAGTGTAAAAGCTTAAAATAATTTTGAGGCATCAGCTACTGAGTACTGGGAAAATAGTGATGTGAGCAAGCCCTGTGTTGTTTTTCAATAGCAACAGACTAAATCTTCTTTATTACTTCTAATAGATAATGTAGTATTTGACTGGATGGAAGAACATTGATTGATTTTTTTTTTTTAGATTAACATTGCTACGTGTTTTTTATCAGGTGAAAAGCCATTTCGTTGTGATGAATGTGGTATGAGGTTTATTCAGAAGTATCACATGGAAAGGCACAAAAGAACTCACAGTGGAGAGAAGCCTTACCAGTGTGAATATTGTTTGCAGGTAAGATGACTTAGTGAAATCTTTTGCAATTAAAATACAGAACACCAGTCAATTCCCAAGTAGTACAGATAGGACTTTCTCCAGGTATTGTAGTCATGTGCATACAAATAAATGTATAAAGGATGTTTTTTCTGTTAAGGTGGGTGGTCTTGGTGCACAGGTGGAGCAGAGTCACAACTGTCTGTGCTTGATTTTATTGTTTATATACTGTTGTTTGACACTTCATTAGAAATCAGTGAAGTGGATGAATTGTCAAGTAAATTTCTTAGAATGAAAGGTTTATTTTCTTTCTGCTAATATTTTTCTATAATAATAATAATAACAATGATAATAATAATAATATAAAAATCTTTTGCAGTATTTCTCCAGGACTGATCGTGTGCTGAAACATAAACGTATGTGCCATGAGAACCGTGACAAGAAACCAAACAGAAGTGCCACCAAAATTGGCTTTTTGCCATCGGAGGAAGATTCTGGTTTCTCTACGCCTATGAAAGACAGCTCCTTGCCAAAGAAGAAAAGGCAGAAAACGGAGAAAACAAAATCTGGGGATAAGGAAGGTACAGATAAATTGGAACAGAAGAAGGACAAAAATGACTATTTGCCTTTGTACTCTTCTAGTACTAAAGTAAAAGATGAATATATGGTAGCGGAATATGCTGTGGAGATGCCACATTCTTCTGTCAGTGGGTCGCACTTAGAAGAAGCAAATTCTGGAGAAATACACCCACCTAAACTCGTTCTCAAAAAAGTTAACAGCAAGAGGAGTCTAAAACAGCCACTTGAGCCAAGTCAAACCATTTCACCTTTATCCACATATGAAGACAGCAAGGTTTCAAAGTATGCGTTTGATCTTGTGGATAAGCAAAGTTTACTGGACTCTGAAGGTAATGCTGACATCGATCAAGTTGACACGTTACAGGAAGGGCCCAGTAAACCTGTACACAGCAGCACTAATTACGATGATGCAATGCAGTTTTTAAAGAAAAAGAGGTATCTACAAGCAGCTAGTAATAACAGTCGAGAATATGCCTTGAATGTAAGTACCATAGCATCTCAGCCTTCGGTAACACAGGCAGCTGTGGCCAGCGTCATTGATGAAACTGCTACAGCCTCAATATTAGACACACAGGCACTGAATGTTGAAATTAAAGGTAACCATGACAAAAATGTCATTCCAGATGAGGTACTGCAAACTCTGTTAGATCACTATTCTCACAAGGCTAATGGACAACATGAGATATCTTTCAGTGTGGCTGACACTGAGGTGACCTCCAGTATATCAATCAATTCTTCTGAAGTATCTGAGGTCACCCAATCTGAGACAGTTGGAACAAGCTCTCAAGCTTCCTCATCAGATAAAGCTAGTATGTTACAAGAATATTCGAAGTTTTTACAACAAGCTTTGGACAGAACTAGCCAAAATGATGCCTATTTGAACAACCCGAGCCTTAATTTTGTGACTGATAACCAGACTCTTACAACCCAGCCAGCATTTCCTTCCATGGAGAAGGTCTACACATCTATACCCGTCAATAGCTTTCGATCAGGAATGAACTCTCCATTAAGAACAACTCCAGACAAGTCTCATTTTGGACTAATCGTTGGTGATTCACAACACCCTTTTCCCTTTTCAGGTGATGAGGCAAATCATTCTTCTTCCTCCTCTACACAGGACTTCTTGGATCAAGTAACTTCTCAGAAGAAAGCAGAGGCACAGCCTGTTCATCAAGCATATCAAATCAGCTCATTTGAGCAACCCTTTAGAGCTCAGTACCATGGGGGAAGAGCTGGAATATCATCTCAGTTTAGCACTGCCAATGGACAGGTGAACCTTCGGGGACCAGGGACAAGTGCTGATTTCCCAGAATTTCCCTTGGTGAATGTAAATGATAGCAGAGCTGGGATGACTTCTTCACCTGATGCCACAACGGGCCAGACTTTTGGCTAAGAAACCTTTGTAAATAATACTGGCACTTTAGAACACATTTGTCAAAAGGGGGTTGCTCTGTATAAGATGGAGTTCTGTACAGCTTTTAAGAGCGCTATGTTAAAACAAGAGTAAGCTGATACTAGCAAGACCAATAACTGCTTTTTGGGGTTTTTTTTGGTTTTTTTTTTTTTTGGTTAATCACCAGTCGTTGAACTGCCTGATGTTGTTGCCCCTTTCAAAGGCAGTTTATTATTCACTTGTTTGAATTGAGGAACTATTTTACCTTCTATGAAATTTAAAATAAACAAAAACCCCAGGTAAGATTTCCCCCATGATTGTTTCCTTACTGGTTTCCTTGTATGCTTTGGGAGGACAGTTTATTGTCTGATCCTATTCGTATTGTCATTTCTAAGCTTGTCAGCATAGTCATTGCTCTTCATCAGGGAATCAACATGTACTAAACACACAGAATAAAAAATAAGTTTCAAAGTCAAGCAAATATGGCTTTAAAAGATGGCATTTTCTAGAAAAATAATCTTTCTTCCATCTCTCTCAAAAATACTATGTGCCCTTTATTTCTGCTTCTCATTACCTTGGGTTGTGTTTGGAGGAAAAAATGAATTCTGATAGATTAACTCTACTATTTAAAAACCTAATTAATTTAAAATACTTAAAAAACTTTTTTAAGCAAAATGCCTAACTGCTAAAGCCTTTACTTCGTTCCTGAAGTAATGTGTATTTCTTTGTACAGCTGAATCTAGATGTAACTTTTTAATGACTTTTTCATATGCAGATATTGAGATTTTGAAGTTAAATTACTCTGTAGATGACATTCCCAATTGCATAATGCTTACACAAACTGTGTATTCCAAGATTTAAAAGCTTAATTGTATCTTACGCTACATACTCATGATTAACATAGAGCACTTAGTCAACTTGATAGTTTTTAATTTCTCAAAAAATAAAACCATTTTTAGGTTTGATACGGTTGCATCATTTTCATCTCATACAGCTCCAATTATTCTTTTAAATTTACATTGAAATTGGGTATTCTTAGCTTCTATAAAACTCTTTCAATTCTCTGTCTAGAATTTTGACAATTCAGATCATTAAATTTATTGAAGTATCCCTGAAAGCTGAAGAAGTGGGCATTTAAATTCCCTATCTTTTTAGCATTTGTTTAGTGAAAGTCATTACAATATTACCAACGAAAACCAGCGATTAATGCTAGTGAAGAGGATGTCTTTGTCCAGCATAGGAGAGTGATCAGAACTTTTTGTTGCATTTCACAATATAAATAAACTACAAAGTTTATTCCTGTACCATGAATATGGTTTTTTGAATAGTACTTTGTCTTAAAGTATGCAGTATGGTACGATAAGTAGTTCTGTGTGCATTTTTAAGGTGGTAAGATTTGAGTAGCATAACTATTGTGTAGTTTAAGTTAACAAGTTACAGATTTTTGAACTGTATGTTCATTCTATTGCACCTTCCCTAAAGGGACACTGTCTGGTAGTTTAAGGCAGTTTAAGCCTAATGTAGGCTGATTAACCAGGGAAAAACGCACACACACACACACTTGTGTATGTATACAGGTATGTATGTATATGTTTTGGGGTTTGTTTTAATAGGATTACATACATCCTTTTTACAGCACTGTTGCTAGTTGGTATCTCTCAGATGAAGCCATCAGCTAGGAGAAGAGACTGTGTCTCAAGGGGCTAAAATATATCCTGTCTTAAGACAGGACTTGAGCAGGACATAAAACAGTTGCCACCTCTTCCCGAAGGAGTAGTGATATTTTTCTTAGTTCTCATTACTAGGAGACTGATCCCACTCTGTCTCTTTTCCCTTATGGTATCACTATTACAGCCTTAACATCACTTGGTACAGTTGAGGGAGAAAGTGCATTTGTTGTCCATGGCTTGCTGCTTATATTGACAAGAAATACAATTTATGTAGACTTCTTACTTAGTATTTTTGTATAAGGAAACAGGTTCTGTTTCGATTCATTGACCCTGTGTATAACATAGGAAAGTGTTTCAGCGTGCTATGGCTTACCAGTCATTTTGTGTAACTATTTGGCTCTGAGTTAAGAGGAATGAGCATCAAGGGAGAATAGTAAATTCCTGATGGATTATTAATGATACATGTAAACAAATATATTTGAAAGAATATTTTTAAACTGATTCATGTCTCTGTTTTTCTTCCTTTATGGTCAGTTTGGTTTTTTGACTTTCCATCCTATTTTGCACAGATATAATACCTATGGCCCCTGTATCCAAAGAAGCCATGTCTTGTAATGCATGTTTCATTTTCAGTGTTTCATTTCCGTTACATCCTAGCTTGTCCTGCCTGAATAATACTGTGTTGGCATCTTTGTTCTAATGTCCTGTTGTTGCAAGTAGATGGCCATTAATAGTACTATTTGTTAAAAAAGCAGCAAAAGCCCAAAAAAAAAAAAAAAAAAAAAAAGGGTTATTACTGCACTTCTCTGGCCCCCATGGGGAGGTAAGAGGAATAAAGCCTGCCTCTCCCTAAGGAGATTGACTCAGCTTTATTTTAAAAAGTTATTGCATTGATGCTCTGCTGTGAGAAAGTGATTGAGGGGTAGGAGGGAGTAGCTCTCACTCCATACTGTCTTCACACTCAGGAGTCACTGATTGGGTGCATGAGTGAGCAAGCTATTGTACAGAGTAGAAGGAACTTGCTCTTCCCCGGAGCAGAGTGGGAATCTGCTGAGGAGCTGTTATTCCTTATGTCACAGCTCATTCCCTTGCCTGCTGCTGAGCCATTACAGCTACACTCTGTGCCTTAGGATGGGTTGGGAAGTCCCAGTCTAGCCTGTGGGGACTATCTCGCAGTTCTTCCACGCGCACAGTTAAAGTGGTGGTGTGAGGAGTTGATCTGCTGGTGCTTGAAGCTTTCTGAACTGGAGGAGTTAACCAAATATACTGCTATGATTTCCTGACTACGTGCCCTTTTATTCTGGAATAAGTATGTATGTAGTTCTGGGAGGTATAACTATGTAAAAAGTTTTTGCTTTTTTAATAATTGCATTATTTAATAACATCTTCCACTGCTCATGTTTTGCTGCTTTTAATCTGCCACAGATGCACACTCTTCATTTTGATCTGGTCAGTGTTCAGTTGTGTTAGTTTTCTGTATATGTCTGGAAAAAAGTGATTTTGGTTTTCTCTTCTGTTCTTGTACTCATATTGTTCGATCGGTCAGCATAAGGCTGGAGTGAGCATTTATATTCCACAGAGCTAACAACAGACCTTACTTCAAGGTCATGCAAGCACTGAATATGTGTGTGTGTGTGTGTGTGTAAGGTGGAATTTTTGGGGGATATCTCCTAGTGATAGGGCAATGATGATTTTAAAAAAGATGAAATTTATGACATTTGTTACCAAACTATATATATACACACGCAATATGTGTGTGCGTATATATATATATGTATAGACGCCCATATTAATAGTCCATATTTTGGTCCTAAATTACTTGACAGTGTCCCTTTTCGCATGAATCCTTTGATATGTTTTACCATTAATATAACAGACAATGAAGGAATCAGCTTGTAATGGTGTACTAATAGGCATTTACATTTTCTTCATTCGATTTGAGAATGAGTTAATCATAAATTACAAGGTTTGGGGAGAAGGATTAACCATGTGTATTACTGTATGTTGGTTTATGAATAACAACATAAACAATTTAAATTGGATGATAAAAGAACTATGTTTATGATCTTGTGTCTCCAAGTGTTGTCGTTAGGAAAATTGTGTTTCAGGAAGAAAATAGGACAAGAAAGTATTCATGTGAATAACGCTTGTATTATTTTTATATTGTACTTGTCCATTTTTTGGATGACGGGAGCTTTTCGTTGTTAATTGAGAAGTACAGTAAAATCTTGCTAATTCGCTGACGGCTAATCAGAGCATCCGATAGGTTTATACGTCCCCGATGGTCTCATCCTCACCTCTCTGCAATGGTCTAAAAAGTACTGTAGCGAGGTCTCAGATTAGTAATACTGTACTGCTTCACCCAAGTATACTACAGAATCCAGATGAGTATACTGGGAGGTACACCAAGTATTGAAAACAAATTGCAGTTGTCAAAATAAATGAACAAAGTACATTTTATGATGTGACATCCTTGCTTTTATTGCCTGCTTCTTCACTATTTTCAAAATTGTCATTTGTAAAGGGTTTCTAAGGCATTGCTGCGAATTATTGGGTTCTACTGTAACTTTTGGAGTTTATTCTAAAGTATTCATGTTCTCCTATGAAAACTTTCCACTTGGACAGATACATTATATTCCATGCTTGTTCAGAATATTTTTATAGTATTTGTATTATGTGTAGTAACTATTTGAAATGAACCAGAACATTTGGATGAATCCACTCTGAATTTTGCAGCATTGGATTACTTTTATGTATGTATATTTGCTAACTAAATTTTCTTGGTTTTGAGAGCTTTGATTTTTATTCTTCTTCATTTGCTTGTTTTAATACCATTACAAATCGCAGGGAAAATCCTAATACTCCTGGGAATCCGTTTGGAAATTTCAACAGGCAGTCGGTATGCTTGTGCAGTCGGTACCAGTACACATGTGAACTTTCAAATTACATGGTTGGTACTGAAGCAGAGGAATAATGTTACAGTTTCCTAGTGTTAAATGTTTTACTAAAATGAAGCCTTGTAACTTTGAAAGTTCATTCAGCTTACGGTAATGCATGTTTATGTTAGGCATGTTATGCATTTTTAGCTAAAACTCACTTTGCAAAGGACAAGTACTAAGAAAGTATTACTGCTAGTGAAAAGAAATGTCTTTAAGTTAACATTTAAACTTTTGTTTGGTTTTTAAATTGCTTTGTGTCAGGGAGATAAATTTATAATCGCTTTTGCTCTACTCAGCGTACAAAACCTTGTGTTTCCTTTCGAAAATGACATCTTCTGGTAGGAAGCACAAACCGAGGCAAGCAAACATTTCTGAGAGTTGTTTCTTGCTTTCCTTAATCCAATGGATGGAAAGGTAATATTGTGTAAACAACATTGTTTTATTTTTTTATGCAATATCGTGCTGTAAATATGATTTATCGAATAAGGATGTACCTATGATTGAATCTTTGATTCTGCACAGCTAGAGTTTATATATAAATATAAATGTGTCTTGACAATCAAGGACTTATGTCAGTCTTCCTTTATGACGTTTCTTATTGTTATGCATTCCATTTGTTTGACTTGAGTATTTGTATTGTCTGTAAAGTATGTAATGTTTTTATAGCTTGTTTAAAAAACAAACAAAAAAGCCTGTAAATACCTACGAACTGATTACAGTACCGCTCTGTTAGAAGGCATATGATGATGTACTGTTTGCAAGCAATAATACATGACAGTGCTGACTTTACAAGTAGCATAAGGACAAGTTCCAAAAATACCTTTGGGAGTTAATAGCCTTGTTTGAGTTAAATAATATTCTTAATCTTTTTTTTTTTTTAATAAATAAATTCAAATGTCCTCCTGCTGGAGTATATAACGTTGTTTACACAGCACAATTTCAGTCGCAGAGGGGACAGTCTTTAGGTCTATGGCTTCATCTGTACACACTTTGAGTAAGAAATGAATGGCTTGGCTGCACTTCTGCAAGATGAGGAAGACTGCAAAAGTTGAATAGCTGTGTCTCTAAAGGATGAGAGATACTATTCTGCTTCTGTGCTGATTCCTGACAATTCCTCTACTTAAATGTGGAGTCTTTAAGTCCTGATATTGAACTGATGAGACTTGGGCCTCCAGTAGAAAGGAGTAGTTCTCTTCATATTTCGTATGCAGATAAACAGTGAACTTAAAAGTCACTCCTTCATTTGAGTTGCGTATTTTTCAAATTATGAGCTATGAGATCATGAGATGGGTTTATCCTGATAAACTAAACATCAAACTTATAGTTTG